AAGATCTGTAAGTTTACCTCTCGTAAAGATCTCTTGTAAATGTTCGATGGATTGGAGTTTGTTTTTTTATTTTTTTGGCTCTATGCTATGGAACTCTTCCTCATGCATATCTTGGCTCTCTGTTAAGCATTATTTTGATTCTAGGGCTTTGGGCATTCTCGATGGATTGGATTTCATTATGGTTTTAGATCCATTGCAATTTGGTTCTGTTGCAATCCTCTTCTATGAGGTTTTTGGCTTTATGCTATGGAACTTTTCTTTATGTATTTGTTGGCTCTCTGTTAAGCATTACTTTGGCTCTATGGTATCTCTTACTTTCGAGCCATAATAGAAGGTAATACATGAAAATACTAGAGTACAAGTACTTGTTGTAGAATATTTTTAAGTGCAACTAGTAAGAGTTTTTGTCTTTATGTGCCTTATAAATGGTTCAATCTCCTCATAAGCCATTTTGTAATGCACACAGAGAGTTTTTCTTTGCAGATCTCCAATGACATTCAAGGATGTCAACGTAAAAATAATTTCACTTGAATATTCACGTTTGCGTCATTACAACTTGCTCATTGGTCGGAATTTCTCTTTAGATTTAAAGGGCACATGGATGCTTAAAACCGCACAACGTTGCTCGAGGTTTGATTGTATCCCAATTGGAGAACGTTGCTTGGGGCTCGATGGTATCCCAACTGGACAACGTTGCTAGAGACATGTTTCACATGCTTCATCTGCATTTTAAAATGAATATTATCATACTTTTAATTGTTATTTTAATACGCTATTTCTTTTTTATTAGGTTACTTGATACTCACTCTTAAGTGAGGTATATATCTTTTTTTTATTGTTATAAAGTGGTTTTTTTGGTTCTCAACTGTCAAATGTATAGTCGTTACAGTTTTGTTGCAAACAGCAACACTGCACAGTGTCATAATGGTCATTTATCCAAAAAAAGATGCAAATCAAATGTTTTCCAAATGCACAAACCAAAGCTAAACAACTTATCCAGATCAAGAATAGAATGATCATTTATCCAAAAGCTGTTGCAAATCATCTGTTTTCTAAACGCACAAACAAAATAATCAGCCAACTTATCAGGATAAGTTGTAGATCCTTCATCGATCTACAAAGGTATAAAAGATGGTATTTCTCAACCTTTAAAGTCGAGTGTGACGCTTTTGATGCGAAGAGCGGAACTCATGCACACTTTTCTAAGTGTGGCGAGGGAAATTTGAAGGCGGCTTTAGTGATTTGTTTTGCTTCAGCGACGTGTTTGACGCGACGAGCGGAACACATGCACACTTTTGTTAGCATGGCGAGGAAAACTAGTATGCGGCGCTTATAGCACAATCCTTCTTGCGAAATGTTTAATGCGACGAGTGAAAATCGTGCATGCTTTTCTTAGCGTGGCGAGGGAAACTCGTTGGCGATGCTCATGATGAAATATGAAAATACTTGTTGGTAAGGCGTTCTGCATGTACTCCATGCACTCGTTTCTTGGCGTGGTGTGTTTCAAAAATTCGGTCACGATGTCTCACAACACTGACCATGCATGTCATCCTTGGCATGGTAGGCAAACTCAAACTCCCGATGCAACCCCCTACAGGGGACTACATCGGGAGCTTTCAAAATTTTGTCTGATTTTGGGACTTAACTTCAAATGGACTTGAAGTGGGCTGAATAAATTTAGAGTAAAATGTGAATACACTCAAAAGAGAACAAAATTGCAAAATGTAAGAAGTACAAAAGAGTTAAAAGCTTACTTGAAAGATTCAAAGGCATCATGCTACCAAAGCAAATGAAATTTTCCTAACCTGTAAAACTTCAAGATGTGAATTGAACTAAATCATGATCACCTATTTATTGAAAGAGAAAGGAATCATGTGAGTTCCGCTAAAAAAGTTACCTACAAACAATTTCACCACCCAAATTAAATCCACGTGAGGTCAAATTTTGCTAGCCAAATAAATGTGAAAATTGTAATGCATATAAATTTAAACTTCGCCACCGGATCTGCAACCCCAAATACATGAGCAGATAGAAGACAAAGTTGAGGTCTCTAATGAAAATATTTGCATCCATCTCAATGATGATATCCCCTTACAAATAATAATGAAACCACCTAAAAGTAAGTTAAAGTTAACAGTTAAAATACCCACATGTGCTCTGACCAACGTGCTAAATACTCGATCTCAAGGTTTTGCACTAGTTAAAATGTGTGCTTAAGCTCAAAACCAAATTTTCCAAGACACATACAAAGCTACTTAAAATCAATTACAGTTAATAAAATGACCATGACAACATGTGCCACGACATGCCTCTAAATATTCAAGCTCATGCGTTTAAGATTGTTGCGTGGGAAACGAGCTGTCTTGCCTATGGGGCAAGGTCATAAGTCCCACACTTTGGCCAATCTAATCCTCCTCCCTACAGGAGCCAGAGTTGACAAGATTGAGCCTCAACTTAAGCCAATCCAATCCTCCTTCCTACGGAGAAAGGAGTCAACAGAATTGAGCGCCTACTGAGGCAATATGATCCTCCTCCTTACTAGGACTAGAGTTGATAGGACTGATGCTTTTAATGGTGTAATTTATAATATTTTTCGATGATGGCCGAGTTGATAGAACATTTCAACTGGAGGGGTCTATTTGAAAATTATGTTCAAATTCTATTTCAAATTCAATTATTTCAGTTACTAAATTCGATCCTTTCTAAGTGGGACAAAATGGATAGGTTTAAAGTCATTCATTCTCCGATGATGATCATATTGATAGTGAATCTCAATCGGAGTGGTCTATTTTAAAAACGTGCCTCAAAGTCTATTTTGATCCTCTGTAAGTAGGATAGCTTCGATAGGGTTCGAAGACATTAATCCCTGATTATTGTCGTGTTAAAAATGAATCTCAATATATATATATATATATATATATTCGATCCTCTGTAAGTGGAATAGAGTCGACATGGTTTAAAGACATCAGTCCTAAATGATGACCGTGTTAATCAAAGATTTTAACTAGGGGGGGGGGGGGGGGGGGGGGGTTCTATTTTAAAATTTATTTTCAAAGTTTATTTATTTCAATTACTAAATTTGATTCTCTATAAGTGGGATAGAGGCGACAGTGTTAAAAAAAATCACTGATGATGGTCGTGTTGATCGAAGATTTCAATCATTATTTTAAAATTATTCTTCAAAGTCTATGTTGAATGATATTGTCAAAAAACAACAACCTCCAATGATGGCCTTGTTGATCAAAGATTTCAGTATTTATTTTAAAATTATTCTTCAAAGTCTATTTTGAATTCAATATTTCTATTAATAAGTCTGATCCTCTGTAAGTGTGACAGAGTCGATAGAGTTTAAAGACATCAATCCCCAATGATGGTTGCTTTGATAATACATCTCAACCAGAGGGGTCTATTTTCAAAATCAAATCTCAAAGTTCATTTTCAAAACTCATATAATAATATAAATCAAGAACCCAATCCTTTGTTAGTGGGACGGAGTCGTCAGGGTTCAAAGACATTAATCCCCGATGATGGCTGTGTTGATCATAAATTTTAACTTGAGGGGTTTATCTATAAAATTATGATATTTTGAATCATAAATATAATAATATTTAAATGAAAAATTATGCCACTTAATGCTTAAAGCAAAATTTCATACACCCTCTACAACTGTTTACCAGAATGGACAAATTTAATATTGGCTCGAACTCACAAAGAGCCAATGTCATATCAAATGTACTACTCAATTCATGCTAAAAAAAATTTTATGTCAATAAGGACACGACCTGAGTCCTCTGATCGCATGGTTCTTACCTCCAAAAGACACAATAAAGAAGCAGTTATGACCACAACCATCTGACGGGGTGGTTTGCCACAAAATGACACCATTATTACGGTCACTATTGTAGCCCATATATTCTCCAATGCAGTCTGCCCTTTTAAGTATTGAATCAAAGGGTATATTCAGTAAGGCAGAAAGCCCTGTGTAAGCTAGTGTCGACTTAGATTAGTCTCCTTAGACAAACATTTACCCCAAGTCTACAGGGTCCCCTTAGACGAAGCAACCCATGACTATTGACAAGTATTTTTTTGGTCAGGTTGGGTCGACTACCTTCGCTTACTAAGTAGACCCGGGACCATGACAACCCGGGATGATAAAACCATAGGATCTTGATCGACTTCGTCATCATTTCCCCCACCATCCGCTTTAAATTCACAGTGATGATAATTTTTATAATTTAAATTCTCAAATTTACTGCTACTATATGCTAAGTCCTAATATTTAATGTCTAATGACTAGCTTTAATCGAAAGTGCTCTCCCATTATCAAGTGAGGTAATTAATCATAGGGGCTTGAGTCTATGAGAAATCTCGAACCCAAGATCTTAAAGTCCACGCAAAATGTGGTGAAATCTCTAAGTAGTGTCTTATTTACTATATATCTCATCTGTCGTAAGCTAGTGTCGACTTAGATTAGTCTCCTTAGACTAATATTCTTAAAATTTGACCCCGAAACTTAACACACAAACACTCCTTGTTAAGCTCTCGACGAGAGTTTGGGGCGCCTTTCGAAGTTTCGGAGCCCACACTAACATGAATAAAAGATCAAGGGTTCCACAAAAAATAGTTCACATTATCACTTTAACTATATCAATAATTGGCATTTACATATAGACAACTCAATTCTTGTTTATGTCTCTGTCATCTAAACTTTGCTTTTCATATTAATACCACCTAAATCTATAAGTATTTTAACTTTAAAAAAAATGAAATATACATTTTCATGCATATGTAATGTGCTAGATATGCAAAAATATATGAATTGAGTGGCATGCATATAAATATACCTATGAATAAACAATAACTTACTTTATTATTTTACTAGTCATATATAAATGGTATAAACTTCAGTTATTTGAAATAAGAATATTATTCTGAGCCATTTTTTCTTAATTCAATAAAAAAGTCTTGATTAATGGCCATGGCTTTGACAAATTCCCCAACGTCCTCTGTGGCATTCACCTAATGAACTGTTGCATGAACCACAACAGGATCCATTAATAAAAATATCTTCTTTAAAATACGTGCATCCTACCATTTCTCCTAAAAATAAAGCTTAAAAATGTCATTTGTTAAAGCCAAATGAATGGTTCATCTCTTCCTCTTTCCAAAGGATTTTCTTATGGATATCCATTGGCATGCAATTACACAACTTAAATCCATTGCTCCAAAGCATTCGAAAGCTGCAAGTCGCTTAGAATTTGTACCAAAGCAAGCTTTGCTTGATCAGGAACATGATGTTTCGAAAGAAAACTTGATAGTTTCTCCTCTGCTTTCTTCTTGTCCATGCTAAATATTCTGAGCAATGAAAACAATTAAACAGCTATGATAATAATAATATATGTTAGAGGGCTTCACAAATTGCTCCAGGAAGGAAAAAAGAGTGATGTTACAGCCTCATTTGCTATGTTAATGTAGAGGGTGCTTTGTCGTTTTGCTGACATTTTCAATCATCAGCTTTGTAAATGACATTCAAGTCTAATTTTTAATTAAATTAATGGACTTTTAATAAGTCAAACCTTTTGATGGATAAAAGAAAATGCAAAAATAACCATCATGTAAATAATTTTTCATTTCTTAAGTGAGATAATGCTTGATCAGACATATTGCTGCAGAAAGATAATGTTATTAATTGACTAGCATTATTAACTAAATAGCCCAAAACTTTGGCTTTCTTGGCTTGGTTTGTGGCAGAAGCTAAAAAGCTTAAGCTGATTGAATTAAGAAAATTGGACAATTTTTTCCTTAGTTTAAATATATTTTAAAGGATAAGATAAAGATTATGACTCGCAAATTCTATTTTTTTTAGCCGAATTTTAATGAAAAAAATGAAAATCATAAGCTCATAAGGTAGGGTGAGCCCGCACTTCAATTCAATATTTTCTATTTCCAACTAATATGCTATGCATTTGAGGGGAAAAATATTATGTTCAGAGTCTGGATGCAAGCTTGCGTCCGGACAATCGCTGCGATCCACCAGAAAGAGCGGAGAAGAAAAAAAAATGACCTCCCTTTTTCATTTGAGGACATTATTTACGTTTTTCATAAATTAGTTTTTATGGTATTTTATATATATATTTTTCTTTTTTTTTGGTAGAAGTGACTACTTTGTGCATAAAAAAAAAATGGCTAATCAGTCTTACCCATTTAGCTTCAAGGCAAGATAAGAATCCGCAAACTGCTGCGCACTGCGGAGGCAGAGGCATTCACACAAGCGAAGCTGGTGCTCTTGCAAATAATATTTTTGATTTCGGCTCTCTGCCAAGTAGAAAGTTAATACAGGAATGATTTTGGTCACTATTCTCCTGTTCAGCTTCATCTGCTGCTCAACCTTAGACTCCTGCGCCTGCTTCTTCTCCTCCTCCGTTCTGTAAAATATTGCTGATCGATGGTGTGTGCTCGCTCCAAATCTCTGGAATTCAAAAAAATTTAAACTTTCATTTTTTCCTTCTCTGAAAACCATGCATAAACAATGAATGCATGATGTGTTAATTACCAAATAATCTTTGTTTGTGGGATCATGGTTTTGAAAGAAGAAGTTGCAGAGTGATTTATATGTTGTCTTCCTCCTGTCATAAGTCACCTGCACAGCCTCTGTGTGTCCTGTTTTCTCTTCCAATACCTGCATGAAAAAGTACAATAAATTATATAAATAATAACTATGGATGGTGAAGTAAGAATATGAAACTATAGAAGTAATTTAAGTTATATTACATATTCTTCCTACATGTTTATAATTTGGCTTAGCAATCATTCCTCCAAAGTAGCCAACCGCGGTTCTCTCCACGCCGCTTTCCGTGCGGCAGAAGGCGGCTTCCAGCTCCCAGAAACTGCCTGCAAATTGCTTATGGAGGTTATTATAAAAAAAAAAAATTGACAAAGTGAAAGGGCGGTTTTCTGGCAACAATTTGAGATAGTCATGTATGAAAAAGCACAATTTTCAGATATTCGGGAGGTATTGGAGGGTTATGTTGCTGTTATTGGGGTTAATTATCCCAATAACCTCACAAAACCCTCAAATGACAAGAAAAAATATGAGCGCCGAACTGCAGAATGTATTAGAAGGTTATTGTGAGGTTATTGATGTACTTCTTAATAACCTGCAATAGCTGAGTTATTGGAAGATTATTCGGGGTTATACGCAAGCAGAATTGCATGCATATGACGTACGCAAATAGCACTCCCCAAACACACCCTCAATTTCTTGTAGTAACAAAACAATACCAGAAAAATAACCACCAAAGATGGAAAAAATCATCACTAAGGCACGAAAATAAAAAGAACTAATAAACTCACCTGCGGCAAATATGGCATCTTTTAAAAATTCTGGTTGGGGGAGATGGGAAGGAGAGGAATTTCTGGTTTCATTATCGCCATTGTTGTGCTGAGTTTTGGGCTGAGGGAGCAATCTGTACATCTTGGATTGATTTTGGTGGAGAGATGAGATTGAAGAGGAAGGTATTGGACTAATAGGAAGCTCTGAACGATATTTGGGACGATTATAAAGAATGACCGGGTTGTTTTCTACTTTAATTGTTTTTTATTATGTTTATATTTTCTGAACTTTGATTTATATGCTGTGCAGTAATATAATAAGATAAGAAAGAAATAAACAGCTGTTAAGGATTGAAGTTTGACTTTTTGTGATATCGAGTTTGATGTCATCCACAGCTGGAATGAAGTTTCAAGCTTATAATAAACATCGGAAGACTGATTCATTAGATTGAGCCGTACATTTTTCTTTTCCTTTGATGAAGAGTTTGTCCGAGCAACGACAAAGTTGAAGTGTTGCTTGGTGTCTGTTTGAGACAGCTGCAGCTTCTTAGTTTTTTTTATTGCTGCTTAGTTGTCCAAAGACTGATTCATTAGATTGAGCCGTACATTTTTCTCCTTCTTTGATGAAGAGTTTGTCTGAGCAACGACAAAGCTTAAGTGTTGCTTGGGGTCTATTTGGGACAGCTGCAGCTTCTCAGCTTTTTTGTTGCTGCTTAGTTGTCCCAGGAAGCTACTGCGGGAAAACTGCTGCGGAGAAGCTGGCTGGTTGTTTGTTGCAGCTATGTGAAAATAGTTGTGTTGTCGCTGTTTCTGGATAAATAATCATTCCACCCATGTTTAATAATGTTGTGTAGGAAATGTTTTTTATATTTACATCTCCCAAATCTTTTAAAAATTATCACCATTTAAACTTATCAAAAGTAAAATACACATTTTCATGTATGAATAAGGAGTTTTACACTTAAAAATTAAACTTTAGGTGTCAAATTTCTAAATACATTAGAATGTAGTGGTAACTATGCAAATTTATCTTTAAAAATAATAAAAATTTGATGGAGCCGCCCATGCTTGCCTCGTCAACCGTCCTTGAACCCATCTCTTCCATGTTGTCAACGCCGCCCTCCGAACCTCCGACTGGATCTACCTCGATGCCAACATCGAGTTCCCCGTGTGTTCCTCTCCACCACTCCTTCCACGCCGAGCAATTCCTCATCACCAACGCCGCCTTACACTCTAAAACCTCGATCCCCTTCATCGCCGTATCAGAGTTCCCTTGCGGTCTCTGCTTGCAGTTCTCGAACGAGGAGGGGCAGGGTATAATATGCTTTCGCTTGAACGGCGAGGGGCAGTTGGTCAAACCGGGAGGTGGGGCGGTTAGGTAATATGCTACCGCTTGAACGCGGGCCGCAGGTTCCATCTGCGGCCGCTTTTCGCCAAAACCACGTCTCACCTCAATCCCCTGCCGAACCAAACGGACCCTTAGTTTCCAAAGGTGAATTTGTCAACAACTTATTTAGAGGATTGATAATATATGTACTTCATTTCACTACTTAACAAACTATTTCTTCTGATTAATTTATTCTATAGTTTTGATACATGTATTCTGAGTTGTATATATCATTTTATATATATTTTAAAGTGAAATTTTCCTCAATAATGACCTTCTGAAATAAATATATATGAAATTTTCTCGCTCTATCCATAAAATGCTCTTTCTCTCTCTATGAGGAGGAGAAGGTCTCTCTCCTTTTGGCCCATAATCTATCATTTTATATACCATTCAAATTTAGACCATATCATTGATTGTGAACTGTATAATTTAAATCCTATAAAACTTTAGCTTTTATAAACTTTATCATAGTTTAAATATTCATCAAGCAAGCATGATAAAATAAAAAAATGGTGCATGAAGTAGTCCACTTATTAATATCATTATTGATCCGTATATTTAATTTTCAAACAATTTGAAAATTTTTGTACATTATAATGGACCATTTTATTTTCATGAGCAATTAGAGACATCCTATAAGAATACTTTGATGCATATGATTAATGATAGACAATCTTAAAGGTCTTGGAAACATATGGCATTAGTTATGGTATTATATATACATATATATTGGATAGTTTTAAATTTACATTAAAAATCATAGCATTGCTCAAGTTGAACCATGGCTTTCCAAACCCACTCACCATGTGTAATCATAAGTCCTAAATTGATTGCAACCATTAATAAAACTCATCTTATATAAACTTCGAATAATCTTCTCGAGTACTTATGCCCGTGTTTATGATTAGTGTATTATACATTTCTCTTCTGTTATTGCTTTAATGTTTTGGTTGAATGCTACCAATTTACAAGTGTTAGATCAATCATTCAAGTATTTTATGGATTAATTATATTGATTAACTAACTTCTTGAGCTAACTAGCATAGAACTTTTAAGATTACCTTTTTTTTATAAATATTCTTCATTTTTTTTTAGAAATGAATGCTTTCTTTTGTTAAGGTATTTTTCAGATTATTTGACTCATCTAATGATCGATGTGTATCTCATTATGATGGAATTGCACAAACTAAACAAGAGTATCTTCTCATAGTAATTAAACACCAAGTATGAAATTAGAACGATTAGATGTATTATTCGATCAATTGAAACAAAATTATGTGAAAAAATAAACTAATTGCAAATCAATCAAAGAGAAAAACAAGATTTGCTATAAAAAAATGAAGCTCTGCAAGGAAAAAATCAATACTGTTAAGATGTAGAGATTGAATTTCTCCTATTATAATGTGGTTGAGTGATTTTTAATTTATATATTAACTATATTTTATTCTACCAAATTCTGATCATAAATAGTAGCTATCTTACTTATGAAAAATTTAGGATTTCCACTTTCTTCATGCAACCTACCGAAGACTTAGGGAGATTAAATACAAAAAAAAAGTTGCTAATTCTCTTTGAATCTTAAAATTGGTTCACATACTTTTTTTTTTCAGTTTTCTAACCTATAATTCATCCACTAAGCTGTTTTATCTAAGATGAGCTTGTTTTTCATCTCTCAGCTTTGAACAAACTTCAAGAAAAATTAATCAAAGATCAGTCTATTAATAGGAGTTGTGATATAGTACAAAATATGTGGTAACTATTAAAATGAAAAATATAATTTTTTTATTAAAAAGGAAACTAATGCCAAACTTTATGGTTACATTCAATTCCATAAAAATTGAATGTAATTCATGATAAAAGAGGGGAAAACATGATAATACTTGAAAATTGAAATGATTATACTTTAAGCTAGAAGAAAAGGCACAAAGTAACGCTCTTGCTTTACGACTACAATCTTTATCTTTTTTTTTCATGTCCAAGCATTTTAGAGCTTCAATAATCACTCCCTTTAAGAGAACCTTAAAAACCTCTGAAGGGCTCTGTAAATTCCAATAAGATAGCTTCCAAACTTAGCCGTTGGACCCTCCAAACGTCTATTAATTTATTTTTAATCATAAATATGATTGCAACGTATCATCCAAATATGGTAAAGTTTCACGTTGAAGTTAATCAAAATTGGGGCTAGGAACCTGTTAGCACATAAGTGCTTAGTCCTATATCCTAGGTGTTATTTTAATTTAATCTAGTTGTTAAACACCGTTACAGGGCACCTAGGCCCTGAGCTCTCAAATTTTAGGTGAGATTCTAGCAGCTAAGTTAGCTTCGATATTAAGCGCCAGAATGCTTATTTGTCTACTTTCTAAGTTGATTCTAGCACCTTGGCAATGATTCTCTATTTCAGAGCACCAACATGGATATCTAGTGTTAGATCTAGCATCTATGCACCAAGCTGGGTGCCTAAAGTTCTTCTGTTCACATCAATTGCACCCAAATTATTATGAACATTTATAGAAGTTAATTATGCACATTTCCTTTTTATTTTTTTTCTAAAGCTTCCCGTTCACCTACTGTTGACCTCACTTTTGGTTGAGGTCTAGAAATTTCTTTAGTAGCCTAGGTTTAGCCATAGGACTTTCCTATTGACTAGTCTTAGAAAACTAGAAAAGGTACCCTCACTATTAGAAATTCAAAACTCTTCTCTTTACTCAACTTGAAATTCCACATATTGACCTTAACCTCTAGCATTTAGTAGGTAAGATCATTATGGGGGAAGCACAAGAAGAGTTCCTATAGGGCTACTTGGCCTTAGGATTGACCCTGGGTGTTGACTTGGAACTAGGGTACACCATATCTTCATAATACATTGGTCTATGACTCATTCAGAATGGTTCTCTACCCAATTGCACTTGAAATGACCAATTTGGTCTTTTGCCCCTAGGCACCTCCAAATTACT